GTCTCACGATACTTTTTATCTAATGCTTCTATTATACGAGGATGTCAAAATACTTGGTACCTTCCTACCGACTCCTTTTAGTTTTGGTTGAACATACCGGGACTCATACCCACGAAAGACTAACCAAGTAGTAACAGGCTAACAGCTAGGCGTTATTCTACCTTAGGAACAAAAGTGCACAATATGGTAAAGCTACAAAACATAAATCGTTTTTTATCTTAAGCCATAGGCGGACACACCTAGTTTAAGTAGAAATATAATCAACCCTAGGTATGCATATATAAGTGATAAAACACAGCACCTCGGAGTGAAAGACAAGAACATCTTGCCACTACGTTACAGCACATTCCTTATGACTCTATTATCATAGAATCTATTTCTAAGATCATAAGCTAATCCCCTATTGCATCAAATCCCTAATCAGCTTCTCTTCTACTCACTTACTGGTATTCCCCCAACAACAACAAAACAGCAGTCAGCAACAGCAACTAAACAGCAGTCAGCAACAGCAGCGCTCAGCTCTGCTGCTCTCCCTAGTCCCTAATACTTCGCCAAAGTACTAATCGTTAATTCTCTTTCCTCCTTCAGTCCTCCGTATTACTCGTATTAAATATTTATTTATATCTTTGTCTTCTGAAAAATGGACACCCCTAGTTCCAACTCCTGGCTCCACCACTGTCTTAAGCTTCTACTAGATGAGGATGTCAAACACTCAGTCCGAATCTACTGACTCTTTATAGTTTTGGCTAAACGTATCTGGTCTCATACTCACGAGTCACGAGATAATAACCCTGTCATAATACCTAGAAGTCGCTCTACCTTAGTAACAAAATTCCAGAATGTGGTAAAGCTACAAAACGTAAATAGTCTTTGTGCACTGGTGAGAATACCTCAGCCATCTCAATTGCAGAAACACCAAGTGCCCATACATCCACCTGCAATGTGTTAAAAAAAAGAATGAAATAAAGCAATTGAAGCAAGGAGTTGACAACAGTAATAATGAAATCAGAATGCCAAAAGCTGGAGTTATTCAGTAGATCTTGATTCTCTAGATTGAACCGAAACTCACAACAAGAGGAATATTCACCAAAGGAAAATACTCCGAAAAGAATCCATACTGAAGACCAAGGCCAGCATAAAACTTCACTAAACAGATCTATACCAGTTTGATAAATGAGTTTTAAAGATCGAGACATCGGAAAAGGGTTTTCTTAAGGAGCATGACTATAGAAGCACCCAGAAAACTATCAACACCTGCCAGCAAGGGTAGCATTGCTTTTGTACGAATTACAAATATCCTGGAGGTTTGGTACTCACAGCTATGAGAAGAATGCCTGCCAGTTTTCCTCAAAAAGAGAGCCACAACTACAGGAAACCCACTGAACAAGATCTAGACTTTGTGATACAGTTGCTACCTCTCACATTACATCACCACAGGGGTTTGTTGGTCAAACATATAACTAACTCTGCACTTAAAAATATTTAACATCTTTATATCCTAATCAAACAATATAACTAACACATGCATCAGTCAAGATACCAGCCCACTGAGCCATGCTGTAATTAGCATCTTCCCAAGTGAAAACTAAGTTATAACATGATAGATAATAATACAGACCACCCCTTTGAATAATTACAAATACAAAAATTTCATGGAAGTGCGAGCCACCAAACCACGTCAGTCGAGACATGCAACACAAATGTTTACACATTCAATTTACTCCTGAATCCAGTGACTAACACTTTTAATGTATCCTGAATCTGAAGATAATAAAATCAAAGACTATATAGTACCTTTCCGTCATAGCGGCTTTCCTGAATTACTTCAGGTGCCATCCAATGTGGGGTACCGATGAACTGTGATCAGAAAGATATCATAATAAGTTAAGCATGGAATAAAATGGCGACTGAAACAATACAATAGTAAGAACTGATGAAACTGCTAAATCAATGTCTAAAATCGACAGAGAGAAGACACTTTTTCTCATAAATTTACAGAGGATCAATGCAGAAAACACAAAAAAATATTCCAATTCCGAGGACAAATCAATAATCAAACATCAAAAGAAAGCTGACCCCATGAAGAATGAACTCTAATGTATGAATAGGAACACAGTTCAAACCACAAGCCCAGCATAGCCATAATTACACGAGAAAGGTAGAGTTGAAGGTATGAAACTGGTCTGGAGCTCAGTTACAGTAGTTCCAAGGCTTCCATTGTGTGGGGGAAAATATTGCTATAATTGATAATTCAAATAAGATTTTAGAAATTTAACAAATTGGAGAAAGCCAAGTCACAAAAACAGCTGAAATGGTGCAGGAAAAGAAAGGGGTTGAGGCTGACAATCAACTTTTGACAACCAGACGATTGGACGAAAAAGATATTCATAAGGGGGTGAGAGAGCAGATAGACATCAAGATTTTCTTTATGTGCATGTTTATCCAAGAAACTTCAAATGATATTGAATTACTGACACAACACAAGGCTCGCATTTCTTGTCGACATAAGGAATTAAGCAGTATATATGTGATTACTGTACCGTGTTGCGCTTTGACATGGTCCTTGTAAGCTGTGCAGCAACCCCAAAATCACCTGTTCATAAAGTTGTTACAAGCAGGTTAATTGAAAGACACTCTGCGTTATATACTACTAAAGCATAAGAAAGAGGAGAAGCTGAGGTAATTCCATAAAAGCTAGGACAAAAAAGCTTTTGCTGTGCAATGGCTAAAGTCTATGATACTTCCTGAATATCATGAATCAAAACCCCATGTCTAGACTTTGGGCGAACGTATTATAGAGAACTGCAGGATGAAGTATACTCACCTAGCTTGACCTCTCCCTGTTCAGTAAGTAAAATATTCCCGCCTTTGATATCTCTATGTACTTTGAAAATTGAATGCAAATAAGCAAGGCCCTGGACATCAAAACGAATCAGGCATGACTGAGTATTGCCAGCACACTAACACAAGCACCACAAACTCTAAGACTAAACAAAGTCAAGTGTAAACTGGAAGTGGTAAAGGTTAGTGTCAAGGTAGGGTTTTAACGATGTAAAATGTAACTGCTAGAACCCTGACAAGTACACATTCCGAGACCAGTTATAACTGAAAATAATACCTTTATAGCTTCTCTACATATGTATGCTATCTGATTCTCCTCCAACGCCTCCTCAGTAACATTCATTAAGTCAGCAACACTTCCACCTCCACAGTACTCCATAACTATCTGCAAGAGAAAATAATTCAAAAATGATGGATCCAGGATAGGTGATATAAATAGAAGCGTTGTGAACAATACTCTTAGTGCCAACTCGGCCCGTAAAGAATTTCATACCCAGAGATACTCTTCACCTTGATAACTCCCTAAGTATCGCACAACATTTGGATGGCTACACTGCTGCAACATCTCAATTTCACCACGAATTTCTTCATAGCCCTCTTCCTGGACAATCAGCATCTCATTCACTCATCCCAAAACATCAGAAGGTCATAATTATAGACAATCAAGAATGTACTCACTCCCTCAGATAGTGAAATGACTTTGATTGCGACAAGCTCTGAGGTCCTTAAATCCCTTGCTTTGTAAACAGCTCCATACGACCCCTTCCCTGGTACCCCAAGAAGTCAAATTCTTCAAATTGAATAGCACGAATTTAAGTGCTTAGACCCAACAGGGAATCGAGGAGAATGGAAATGGCATGTTGCATAACTGGTCTAAGCAGATGCAACAGGGAATCTAAGAGAATGGAACTGGCTCGGTGCTTCTATTTGCACCAATAAACTCAGAGAAAACAAAGGACAGTTCTCAGTGGAATAGATCTTCTGAATCTTATTGCTACAGAAGACTCAAAGCTCTCCGATCAAATCTTGAGAAAAGAAGGGGAAAGAAAATTCGACATTTTAGTTATCACACTCACCTAGTTCATTGAGCAATTCATACTTGGTCGTTGGGTCTTCTCTGGTCACGCTCTCCGGAATCGAGCTTGCAGATACTTTAGTATGCTGATGGTGCCTGTACTCATCCCCCTGCGAAGACAAAGATCCACTCCTCCTCTTCGGTTTCCCAAACCCTAAATCCCCAACTGCCTGCATGCTCGCCACCGCTCTCCCCATAGTTGATCCACTCCCGCTTCCTCCACCATCCCCACTCTTTCTCACTACCGTCCCACTCAACGTGGATTTCACAACAAACGTCCCGAATCCCTCTCCATCACCATCATTATCATCTTCCTCCTCCTCGTCGCCGTAGTCTCTCTTACTGAAATTCCCAAACGGCGAGCTGCCCCAAGGAGGCTTCACCGTCGATGACGACGAAGAAGATGATTGATTCCGCTGCCGGGCACCGCGATTCGTTTTCACAATCATCGTCCCAAAGTCGCCGTCGTAGTCGTCGTCGTCAGCTACCTCGTCATCCAGCGGGTCGCCACCTCCGAAGTCCTTGGGCAAGCGCTTGAGAAGCGGAGGCAGCGATTCGTCGTCTTCATCGTCCTCTTCTCCGTCGCTCTTCCCGAAATCGGCGGCTCCGCCCTTGTACACCGTCGTGGCGTAGATGTCGTCGGTCTCTGGTCGGCGAGAGGGTTTGGCTCTGGCTCTCGGCTCCGCCTCGGATTCCGACGAGGAATCGTGGACCACGACGGTGGAGTAGATGTCGGTTGTCGGAGCCGGCGGTTTCCATGACCGGCGAGAAGTGGGCAGGTGATCCATCTCCAACGCGAATGTGTCAGGTCCAGCGTGCCAAAATGTGACCGTTGTTCCGTTCCTTTTTGCCTGGACGTCGAATTTGTCCCGGTGAAAGAAAGATGCCAGCAAATTGTCAACGGACTAACTTGTGGGCTTGTTTCTTTTATCTGGTCTAAGCCTAAGTTTTGTTTGGGCCAGAAAAACTTCTGGGCCTGACTGCGGCCATTCTACTTTTTGGGCCTTCTGATGAAATTCATCGCTAAACTTGCCTTTTCTGATATGAAACGGTTCGGTCATCTCTTGAGTCGGAAATTGAGAAGGCGGAAGATCGGTTGTCGTAAGTTCGATTGCGAAGGGGAAATTTTCGTCTTTGGCGATTTAGGGTTTTTGAATTACTGCAGAAATGATCATCCAAGGTGCGCGTGTGCCGTTAAAGCGGTGGCAGCAGGCGGCGGTTGCGGTTGGATCGGCGGTGGGTGCGTTGCTTGATCCGCGGAGAGCGGATTTGATCGGAGCTCTTGGTGAAACCACGGGGAAGCCCGCCTTCGAGAACGTTCTTGAGCGGATGAAGAGGAGCCCAGAAGGGAGAGTGAGTTCATCTTCCTTGTTCAATATGGTTCTGAACGCACACTTACTGTGGCTGAGTTGATTGACCGTTATTTTTATGTATAAGCATGGTTATGAAGAATTTGGAATGCACTTGCTTTCTTAGGGGCTAGCATATAGAATTGATGAATTGGTGAGAGGCTATTCGATTCCCTGGAACCATTGTGCGGAGAAATGGTCAGTTAGAATGATAACCAAGCTTTTCTTTAGATACAATGCTGATTCAGTAGAAGTTGTTCGTGTGGCCTCTCTAGTTACAAGTAGATAATGTTGAAGAGATCTTTTTCAGCATGATCCGTAATTATGCCGTCTAAGTGCAAGGTGTGATGATTTGCTAGGAAACGACGATGGGAGGGATGTGGAGCTTGACCACAGAAGATGTTTTTTATCTTTAGTTTTCAGGAAAGCAAAACCAAACTGTTATGTATTTATTAAGTTCTCACCAGTAATTTTGGTGTATTTTTTACAGGAAGTGCTATCAGAGAGACCACGAGTAGTATCGTCACAAGTAGGGCACGCGTGGGACCTACCAGAGAACACATTCGGAGCAGCCTACGCAAGATTCATGGGATCAAGAAACTTCTCGCCAGATGATCGTCCGCCAGTGAGGTTCATGGAGACAGATGAACTGGCATACGTAGCAACACGGGCTCGTGAGGTGCACGACTTTTGGCATACCCTTTTCGGTCTGCACACAAACTTGATCGGCGAATCAGCGCTCAAGGTGATAGAGTTCCGGCAGATGGTACTGCCAATGTGCCTGATGTCTGTCGTGGGTGGAACAGTGAGGTTCAACGAGAAACAGAGGAGGCTGTTCTTTCAACACTACTTTCCTTGGGCCAACATTGCTGGAACGAAGTGCACGGATCTCATGTGTATATACTACGAGAAACACTTCAACGAAGACTTGGAGGATGTGAGAAGAAAATGGGGGATAATTCCTGCTCCTGCTGCTCCCTAATTAGAAAAGCATTTGGTGTTTGCTTTTTGCTAGGTTTTAGACAGAGCATGATGATAGTTGAATGGAGATTGTGAATGTAGTGCTGTGTTTGTTTTTCGGCATGTACTGAGGGATACAATCTCTATAGAAGAGGAAAAGTTTTCAAGTTTTTTGCTTGATGTGTTGAGTAATTGAAGACCTCAAATCGGACATAGAAAATGTCCTGTAGTTTTATGCACAGTTAAGAAAGAAGTGTTTCAGGATGGAAATTGTAATACACTGCTTAATGGATTGCAGTAATTTCAGGAACAAGAATGGTGAGAGAGCAGTAGAGAAACCAACAGCCAAGCTATACCATCCACAATGAGATGATGCGGATTTCATATTGTGACCAAAAGGGACGACTCATTCACTGCCTTCTTGGCTGGACATTTCCAAAACAGCATTTGAATTTGAATATACATTACAAGACATGATCCTTTGTCTATTACTTATATATATATAATGGAAAAGATGAAACACATTGCTCCATTTGAAGCTTACACATCACATATTCCTCCCACCACCAATTCAAACAGAAGCTACTTGTGATAGCACCATCGATTGGCATTGACACAAAACCTCAGTTACTACCACCACCATTACCAAAGAGGTAGCCCAGAGAAGAGCCACCGCCTGGTGCAGCATGAACCTTGGTTGATGGTCGATCCTGGAGACATCAGCAAAACAAGAGAGTTGTCAAAGGCTATATATGAAGTTGGCTGTTTCAGATAAGTTAGCATTCCCGGATCACAGTTCAGGTCTCCATAAATCCAATCTTAATAGAAACAGTCACTTCAATGGAAACAACACAACTAGCAATCTAAATAAAATCTAGGATCCATGACATGGACAAATATGAAGGGCAAAGTTATGTCCCATGAACAATTTCAACTACATTCAACCATGTCATAATAATAAAAAAGAGACTTGGAGGTATGATCATTAGTCATTACCGTGAGGAAGTTGCCAGTGTTCTGGCCATCAGCACGCATGTAGTTATTTGAGGAAGTGCTGTTGATGCCAGCAGGGATTTGCTTGGTGATATCAACTGGCGGGGCAGCAGGTTTCGCAGCGGCTGGCCTAACGCTTACAGTCTCCGCTTCGACTGGTGCTGCATTTGAGAGGCTGCTAGCTTTGACAGGTTTGGGAGATTCGCCACTTCCAAACAGATATCCCAATGAGCTCTGCCCTCCACCACTGCTCACTCCACGACCCATTTCTGAAAACCATGAACAAAAGGCTATCATCAATTGCCATGAGGGTTAAAACACATATCACCAACAACTTAAGTACTGAATTGAAAACGTGAGGTTGCCGTTCCCAGTAGATCGCATTGAAGCTAATCTAAGAAGTACCTCAAAACTCAAAATTGGAATCCTAGATAGTTTGAGGATTCATTACACATCTAACCACCAAATTAATTGATCAGAAGTTGCATAATTGGGCCCCATATCTCGTAACGGAGCGTGGCATTTTCTCTAACCTACTTGGGGAACACAGATTCACAATGTTTGATGAAACTACAGAACACTCAGCAAAAAAACATAGTACAGAATCAAAACTCAAAACAGCCCAGGAAATGCAAACAGATAGAAACCCATAAAGATCGCGCCTTTTTCTGTGTTTTCAATTCCCATCTAAAAACATTCACTTGGGTATCCCTTCAGAATCTACATTCCAGAGTATCAGGGAACACAGATCTAAACCCATTTCAGTTAACAAAGTGGGAAACTGAACCCAAATCAGCAATTACATTATTAAACCACCGACAAGCTCCATGAACACGCATTTGTCGTCATCCAAAGAACAACAGCAAAAGAGACAATGGGTTTCGAAGGCTATACCTTGGAGCAGAGAGAGGTAGAGAGATATTTGGAGATCAGATCCTGAGAGAGCGTAGGTATGAAGACGAGGAGCAGTGGGAAGAAAGAAAAGTGAGGCTGCGCCTGCTGCTACCAATGAGAGAAGAGGAGAGGGAGAGGTTAAAGTACAGAAGATAGAAAACGAAATGCCAACGTTAAATAGAGAACTTTGTTGGTGGGTTAAGTTAAGTTAAGTTAAGTTGGCAAAAAAAACATATTTTTTAAAAAAATGGGAATAAATAAAATCAGGACGAAAAGTAGAAAACAGTTTTCATGAGTTCTTAAATTCCGAATTTTAGATTTGTTTAGTCCGTTGCATTTCGGTTGATTGCAATGCGAATAGAAAAATGGGAATAAAAAAAATGGGAATAGAGGAAGTGATTGCAATGCGACCGACGGGTATATCAATATTAATATTCACTAGCTTGAACCCGACCATTTGGCCGGATGAATTTCAATGGTCTGTAAAATATTTCAACCTTCTACATTTTTATGTTTTTATTACCCATTATTTCAAACGTGTTATTTTGTACATTTGATGTATGAAGCTAGCTTATTAGTTCTGATTCTATTATTGAATTCTACTAAAGCAAACTCTAAACACTCAACCATTAACTTTTAGTACTTCATGTAAGTAACATATACTTCGGTAGAATATTCATTTTACGAATATCCCAAAGTTTTCTCAATCCAAGTGATTCATTGTTGCATAAAAGGTTTTTAACCCGTTACATGACATTAAAGACACTCTTAATCCTCCAATTGGCCATGTATGCAAATCGGTCATTCCTATCTTGTAGCATAAATGCTTGCCCGAGTTTCTTGGTTTACAATTGCCCCTCATCTAAATCTCAATTCAATTATATTTCTAAAACATTGATTATGGCACACGAACACAAATTGTCAAAGAAAAAAAATAAATTTTACTCCGTTGTTTCCTTTTTCTTGGGACCATATGAAAATGCTTTTCATACACATGTTTGGTACGAAAATAATAATTTAAAAAAATTTAATTGAGTGACAAACGCTCTAATTTTTATTTATTTATATAAAACCTATACTTATTATTAAATAGTGATAGAAAGCATACAATCCTTCTACAATATATGGGAGGAAAATTAGTTCATACTTCATCCGAATCCCAAAGACGCTTTATATTGGCCATTAAATGATAGTTACAAATAATAACCAATTTGTTAACAACGGAAATTTAATCAAGTATTATTTTTTCTCTCAAAAGTTATGGTAATGTTAGTTTTGTTTACGGATTAACCGAAGATATTGAAAGGAGTAAAATTATAAGATAATTGATGATTACATTTCAATTTGATTGATTTCATTTCACAGATAGTTGCGTATGCTAATTAATTAACCAAGTACCAGACTTTGTTAATCATTATTTTTTAGGGCAAAGATTGTGCAGTTGCTAATTATTTTCTAATATTTGAATATCAAAATCGTAAATAAGAACTTAAAACCCAAGTGTGGGCTCAAACAGACCAAAAAAAACTATTACATCGCAAATTAGAGATACGGTCCCAGAAGAAAACTGGAGAAACTGAAATAGGGTACCGAAAGTTACTCTCCTTTCAGCAAATTCAAAATACTAAAAAGCTTGTAAAATTCTACCATTATATATTGGGAGATCCCGTACTAAGAGCATGTCAGGATGGATGGGAACACGGGGTATTCATTTTATTTGTAAAAAGAGTAGTGATATTTAACTTTTTCACAATAAGATATAGAAAAAACACTTTATATATGAATGAGAAATAAAATAAAATAAATAAATGAGTCTAAATAGTTGAAAGAAGAGTCTTCAAACTTCTTTGAGATTAAAATATAACTTTAGAATGGCCGAAAGTAGAAAAATACAAGTAAGCATTAGACGAACGGGTCGAGAACATGACGAGGCAGGTCTGAAGCAATACTCATGCCCCATCTCACGGTACATCGGGTAGGGTAATACTTGACACAAACAGGCGGGGACAAGTTGGGTCGTGCGGGCCAGATCAGAAATTGCCATTACTATAAGGGGGGGGGGGGGGGGGGGGCTAGATATGAGGCTAACACCAATTAGTATTAGTATCATGCAAACATAATTATAGCCCTTCTAATATGCGCTAAAGTATTGGTGATTGGAGTTACAAATTGAGCTTGTATCATAACATTAAGGGATAATTCCACTAGCAAAATCATACTACTAAAAAGTGTCATTTGTGTTCTAAACTATTCAATATGACAAATCTGGCACGAACTATTTTTCCGTTAATGTTGACCAGCGTTGACCGCTAGTATTTATCAGAAAATCTAGTCAGCATCTATGTGGTTTGTGTCAGATTTGTCATATTGAATAGTTTAGGACACAAATGTCACGAAACGCATATAGTTTGTGCAAAATTTGTCATATTGAATAGTTTAGTACACAAATGGCACTTTTAGAATAGTTTGGACTTCCTTATGAAATTAGCCCTAACATTAAACATATAAATTCTGTTGTACCATAAAAAAATTGTGTCACAAAGAAATTTTGTACAAAAAGATATAAGGATAAAATAAATTTGTATCATTACTTTTAAAATACAAATTAAATTTATACCATAAAAACCATATTTATATACCAAAACACCCGTACTATATATATAAAACATTGGTGTAAAATTCGCATATGGTTAAGGGGTGCAGGTGGGATGGGGACAGGTGACCTTTGTTGGATTGGAGTGTTACTGGTGGCAGCGCACACATGCTTCTTGACCAAACCTTAACTCACAAAATCTGTCGACACCACTTATACAGATCTTCCAAATGCTATTCTTTTGCCTCTTTGTTTATTTCTAATGGCTTTTCACTTGCCCACTTGTTTCCCCCACTAACATTTGTTTAGAACACACCATACTTTGTTGTTGGTTGGATTGTTATTCTTACTATGGTGGTTTTAGTATACATTTAATTTGCAAAGTTGGCACTCCATCCATTTAGTGATTGAGATTGTGCACACGACGAGATCAGCGTACGCTTACACTGGTTCGTGTAACTTTGTCATCCAATCAGTATTCAAATCGACATATAATAAAAATCTACGTTACACAAACTTCGATCCTATGATATCAGCATGCTTGTACTGATTCTTATACTAATCTCGTTTCTTAAGCCGTATTCAAATCGATACATAATAGAAACCTACCTTATCTTTAAAAAAAAACAACTAATGACACCTTGCCATATGTCAAATTTTGGGGTTACTAATTAGTCAGCAGATGAAGATACCTATTCTTTCTTTCTTTTCTTCTGATCAGTTAGCATCAGAATGTGAGCATCAGCTAATGAAACAATGACAACTGTGGTGAGTGCATGTAGTCTAATCATTAGCTGTATATTCCAATCAACCAATCAAATTTTAAGTTTTTATTTCATGTATTATTATTTCACTTGGGTAAAATTCTTTGCGCCATTTGATCTTGAATTGATGGGTTGATGTGGATGCTTTGGTTGTTAATCACTTCCTTTCGGTTCTAACAACACAATCTTATTTAAAAGATTCCAAGGCCAAAAAGTCCAATAGCCAAAACTTAAATGCATGCACCTCCTCTAAAAGGACAATACAAATTGGGCCATAAAGATTGATAATTTAATAAAATGGTTATATAATTTTAATGGGCACAAAAATATTTAAAATATAACAAAAAGATCATATACATATATCATTTTATAACAGAACAATAATATGTGACTTTTCATTCATATTTCCATCCAAAATGCTTAGTTACTTTGCTTTGAATAAGACGTAGGTTTAAGAATTGATTAGATGTGTGAAATTTTTTGTTAATTTTATACCATGATACATATATATGACCATTTTGTTATGTTTTAAATGATAATTGGTAACAATTTTGTTAGAGTAAAACTTATTTGACCATTTTGATTAATGACCCATAGTTTCACTATAAAACTTATATTCATAACACCTTATACACACATATATATATATGACCATTTTGTTATGTTTTAAATGGTAATTGGTAACAATTTTGTTACAGAGTAAGACTTATTTGACCATTTTGATTAATGACCCATAGTTTCACTATAAAACTTATATTCATAACACCAACTAAATAGTTCATTCATTTTAGATACATCAACATGACATAAGTCCATGAGAATTAAACAAACCTTACAATCAAATAATTGGTCGTAAATTTTGGTTAAGGTGCCCATGAACCACTATTTGCTTTAGAGATGTCAAGTCATCCTACAGCCACGGGAATCACGAAACTAGCCGAGACACAACATGATCTTCCCTTTCTTGCTGCCGGCCTAGTCAAAGGTGGAACCAAAAATAACCAGACATGTCAAAGTTGACGACAGCATTCATTCACCAGTACACCATTTCCCTATGCATCACCGACATGCACCTCACCAAAAAAGAAAGCGCCCATTCCACTAGATCAACGAATCTGTGAAATCTGAACCAGTATCCTGTGCAGAGCCTGTGGCTTGGAGAAGAATGGGGCATGATCAGAACCCTTGATCTGGAAAACTTGTTGTGGAGGGTTTGATTGGACCATGGCTTCCTGTTGAGATGCAGGAATTGCATGGTCTTCCAACGTTTTGATGTACAGCCTTGTGATGGACCCGTAGTTTTCTTCAGAGAGGGTCAGTTTCTCCACAGCTGGTCCGAATGGGATTGATCTCATTGATACTGCTGCCAGTGCTTTATCCTGCAAGACCCACAAGTAGTTAGTCGTTTTGTCGACCAGAGGGTTTTCAGTTTTAGCACCCCCTACATTGTAACAAGAAATCGAAATTTGCATCCCGAACAATCTACAATTCACTTGTTTCAAATACATGCATCAAAATCCACAGATTTAGTGATGCTGATTTTGTATTGAAGGACTGGAGGAGGGTTTTTTAATCTTACTCTCGTGGAACTCCGGTTGAATAACAGCTCTCTGGAGATATCTTTGTCAAGATCAATGGAAGTTGCAGGGTTTTCCTTACCGTCCGCATAGAGAAATATGTAAGCTTTCTGCATGAGATTCTCAGAATCTGTCTGCAAAAATATGATATCAAGCAATTTAGTCAGAACAATGTTTTCACGGCAGGGTACTCTTGAATTCCTAGGAATTAGGCCGCACTCTATAACGAACCTGTTGTGTCTGGGACAGCAAATCAAGGGCACTCTGACCATTGAATGGCATTGTTGCAGCTACAAAAACAGCTTTCGAAATCTTTAATGGATATTGTTCCATAGCATATGAGATACAAGCACCACCAAGATCATGGCCAACCAAAATAACCTGCGAATTTTGAAGATCACAAAAAAAAATTAGCTGGCTCATCACATAAATAGTTTCTGGAGATAATAAAAAAATAATATGAGATTTAGATGTCAAGCTATCACAAGACCTTATTTTCTTGACCAAGTTTGTCGATAACATCAGTAAGCGGCTTCACATATTGAGCTAGACTGTAGATGTTGTTTGAATCAGATAAGCCGGGTCCAGAACCCGTTAAGTTCACTGCGTCAACTGTGAATCCGGCTTCTTCCAGGAGTGCTACAGTTTTGTACCAACACCAGGCTCCAAACCCACCTCCATGGACAAGAACAAAATGGCTAGCCTCAAGCTCATCGACCTTTATACCCTGCTGAACCAGAACAACAATTCTTCAATTGAAGATTTTGTTGGAACAGACCAAGTACTTAAAAATGTAGGGGTTTGCAACAGTTCTGTTTGCACCCAATAGAACCAATAACAGTTCAATTTGGTTTCAATTCCATAAATTTTCTTCAGTAAAAGAAAAGAGGACTGAAACAGGATTGGACCACCAAATGCACTTTCGAATCAATTCTCAGTATCATTTTCCCTTCATCTACCATGCCAAATTATGCCCGACTCTTGACCGAACTGGACCATCACATACCCCAACTTCAAGATACGAAAACAGAACTGAATGACAGACCTGATTGACAAGCTGCTGAGGTCGGATGAAACGATCAATGAGCAAAACTTGACTCGAACTTGAGCTCCTCTGTACATGAGGACCATGCTTTCTCGGTGGCCCCATCACAGTCTCAGAGACTGTTCTCTGCACTGAATTGTAACCACCATTTGTCCGATGGTTCTGGACAAAAGCTGCAGCAAGTGCACGGTCTGATGACATGAAACTGATATCTCTTATTGAATCATCTTCGTTTGTCTCACAACTCTTTTCTTCTCTGTCCTTCATATTCTTCTTCTGAAAAGAAAGAGAAGACAAGAAGGCAGCAGGTTTTCCCTTGAAAGAGGGCAAAGAGAATTTTTTTCTCCCTTCATTATCACCTGATATGCATCTAATTGCATTTCCCATTTTGATTCACTTGCAGATACCACAGGATGCTCATGCATTGCATATGAGAAAAGAAGGAAAGATTAGTCTATGGTGAGGCAACCTTCCCTTGTCCTTTCTGATATTCTTTTGCACTTCCTTTCTTGGAAAAGCAGTTAGCTGGAGGACAGAGAAACAGCTTTGACGATCACTAGGGCAGTCTGAACTGGTCTGCTTGTTTGTCTTGACTCCTAGGCCGTGGAAACAAGCAACGCCGACCTGAAAAATATTCTGTCCACTATGTTCTCAGTTTCTCCACCATTGTACTCTTCTGCCATATGCTCCATTTCTTCAGCTTTTCTTGGACCAACTAGGCAGATTTGATATCCTGAAAACTACAACAATAAACACACGAGAAAATACCAGAAAAGAAAATTGAATGCTTATTCACAATCCTTCTCCCGAAGGAATATTTGACATATCTTCGGCACTTCTGACAAGCAAAAGTACCATTCCATTTTTCAATATTGCAAGACAGCATAAGATGTCTCTATCGCTGTGTCTTGTTTACAAAGGTTAAGAGAGCAAGTAGGATAATAAACAGCCGAACAGGAATCAAACAACAGCACAAACCAAGGTTCCAACTTCCAAGGTAATACAATACTAACACTAAAAACAAAAAAGCTCATGCTAAGATTCCAAGGTAGTCCTTTTTCCTGGCTCTAATTAGGTGGGAATCAGGATTCTAAATATCAGCGCTAGCTGGTATCCTGTTTAGAGGCTCGCGACAGTTGCAGGCTTAGCTGAAATTCCAAGAGTTTCTCAAAGTTGGCAACTTTGAATTAGTCTCTCAAGTTTGAAACCGCAAGCAGCAATCCTCTTAAGCTGGAATCGGGAAAAATATCATAGAGCAAGATCCAAGTTGTCGCCTAGTTCCTGATTTATACTTCAACGAATCCCTGCCTAGTAGAGAAGGCATAGTTGCTGGTAATCCACCTCATGCAAACCAAATCGATTGAGCAGCAAATATAAATCTTGCCTCCACATGCACCATCTTTTTTCCACCAAGACCAAAAGCATATTAGTCGGACTAAGGCTTCAATGAAAGATTAAAAGTCTACTTCTTGACAGAACTGACATCCATCACATCCCATGAGAATGTTGAACAGGAAGCTGAATCCAACCTCGACCATTTTAAAGCTGCAGAGAAGCAAAGTTCAAACAAAAGAAAAGAACTGAGTCCTCGCCTCTTTCTTAGTAGGGAATTATTGCATGAACTTAAGTGGAGCATGTCAAAAGTTAATGTGACAGCACAGTACAATTTCAATATGCATTTTAATATCAGGCAAAAAGAAATATTATTACCACATCTCAACTCTGCATGGTGTAGTAGTGTGGCGCAAGCTCAGTTAACCACATATACTCGATCCTGGTTACATTCCGGATGTACTTGTTAGTAGTTTGAACCATTTCATTGAAAACGACGCACTCAACCTTTGACTGAAACAGCACAGAGGAAGGGTGAATCTGAACTACTTGACCAGTTCCGAAAGCCCTGCCATTCAGTTAAAGGTCACTGTTAGTATCAACGGATGCAAAATTGTGATTGGTTGCAATGATAGCCCATATGAATCAAACAATATTGATGTTTGGAAGAACATTAAACAATGCTCAATCATGGCGCCAAGTATCCAAGTTTAATACCTATAATTTCCCTCCGGCTGCTTCAAAGCTGCATTAATGAAAAATGATGCAGCAAGGCATCTGCGGAATTGGAGCATATCATCTCCGCAAGAAGTGATCCGAAGACCCATTTGTTCAACGTGTCCACGAATTTGACTGAAACATGGAACACACAATCAGTAATGGTGGCCAATTGGTCAAATATCATGGACCTTACATTGACAGGATTTCTGCCAACATGACCATATACCTATGTATATCCCGTGCATGCCTCACAGAACGACCATTAATGAAATTTTCCTTGCACCATCTTTTGAATATCTTCTCACTTTTTGCTTTAAAAATTTTCTCGTTTCTCTCTGTATGAGGAACCCACTTCCTTTTCTCCAGAAGATCTTCAGCTGCTCGATATACATTAATCAAAGTAATGTGGTCCCCATCTGGACTTGCAAAGCATTTAGCAGCAGTTCTTGACTATAAAAAGTAAATAAAAATTGTCAGACAGTAACAAAACATACAGCAGGGGAAAGGGAGGATAGAGAACCATGGAATCAAAGATGGTATTCATGTGGCCAGTAATAATACGAACATGAAAATAGTTACGCAAACATGGACGATTGTATCAAGCTATTAATTATGTTTAACCACACTCTTTAGGCTACCATGCCAAGTTTGACAGGCAATCTTAACTCAACAAACATACATAGAACAGTTGAACAACACAGCAGCTGCTTTCCATTTTATACATAAAATCAGCAAGCAAAACCAAAAAGCCCCATGAGATTTGCAGGATATGGGAAAAACAAAATCCACAGTAAAAATAACTCCCAGCATCCATCATAACAGTCATGTAAAATTGTTCCAGGTAATGTGACTGTGACTCATTTTAATTTTCAGTATTTGTCAACAAGATACAATTTTTGAAAGCTATGTGGAGAAAAATCAACCAGCTGATAGATCCAAAAGAAACTTAAAACCACATTGAGCGCAACGGTCAAAAGACTACTACAAAGAATGTTCCCGGATTATCATTAACAACTCAACCTTCAAGATATTCAGTGGCCTGATGCAAAAAAGTTAAGAGTGCAAAAGCATCTTAGAAAAAAAAGCATGGAAATGACACATACTTCGTCTAACTTTTCACGGGGTGCATAGAAGACTGAATCCACGGACAGCATTGCTACAGTAATCAACATTTCTTCCAAACAGTTGAACTGACTGGCTAGGATAAGAGCTTTAGAATAAATAGGGTCCAAAGGAAGGCGAGCCATCTGGTGTCCAACTGGATCAGATAATTTGCAGTCATCCGTCAAAGCGCCCAGAAGAAACAAGTGTTCCAGCGATTTAACAATAGCTGCCCTGTTAAAATGCGTCATTAGTTATCATCAAGTGGCACAGGTAATATATACAGTAATAAGGCAAACTTTACAAGCATATCTCAATGATGACACAATTCCTTCAGGAGGAAGAAGGATAAATGGTAAATTATACAACTTACACATACTGTTGCAAGCAATTACAAGCATAATGCCATAGAAGGAATGACCACAAAGGCACATTTCCCAGCATCTATATTTATAGCAACAGAAACAACTCTGAAGGTGGCCTCAATTTTGACAGGTTTGGAATAGCCAAAATTTCGATACCCTGTAAATTTACGGTCACTCTTGCCTAGTGAAGTATGTTACCCATAGAGAAGTAATCCAATGGGGCGGTCAATCAGTATAAACCATGAGCAAATGCTCTATTATGAACGAGTCACATAACCAAAATGTGAGGAACATGTACCTAGATGGTTTTTCAATGAAGTCAAACCCGAATATATCGTCAACACCAAGAGCTTTAAGCTGCAAAATGACATTTGCGAGGTTGCACCGCTTGATTTCTGGCTTTGTTGAATCCTCAAGTTTCTCAAATTCACTCTCAGGGTAAAGACGAAAACATTTCCCTGGCCCTTCACGCCCAGCACGACCACTGCAACAACAGTATATCACTTGTTAGTCCCTTAGTTGCCAGAGTTTGGCATTAAATCAACGATCGGCAATTTACTTCATCCCACTATGAAATTCGCAACAAAGAACATGAAAAGAAAAAAAAAAAAAAGAGGACACAAGAAGCCTCGATTTTGTAGAAGTACCAATTTACTCAATCATAAAAACAGAGCCAAATGCCAGAAGAAAGAGGGGAAGTATACTGGAGCGCAATTATAGCTGACTTGCTCTGTAAATGTAACAGCTAAATTACAAAATGCTAAATTCTTTCAAGAAAGATAACTCATTTATCGCAACTGAAACTAGTTTGATCAGGACTCTACATGAACCTTCATTATATCCCCTACAAGGGAGCAAGCGCCCTACCTTCTTTGAAGAGCTTGAGCTTTTGAAGTTGGAATGATAATCAAGGACTCCATCCCCTTAGCTGGGTCATATGAGCGAGCTTTTACAAATCCAGGATCAATGACAAACTTGATTCCAGGAATTGTCACGGATGTTTCTGCTATATTTGTTGCTAGCACAACCTGGATATGAGAATCAACATCAGTGAGGGATGATTCTAGGAGTTACAGGTTGATGCATATAGTATTATAAAAAAACTGGATAGCTTTAATGACTGCACGCTTGAAAAAAACGTTGCAGCTTGATCAACCTCTCTTTTACTTTGTTTTCGATAACTAGTGAAGTAGTGATTAACCATAAAACAAAAGAACCAAAAACGTTGACAGATTATTAAGGTACCATCTTCAACTTTTGTCCATTTTCCCTTTTCTATACTTATCTGGTAGTACGTACATCTACAATTCCTTTCAGTTCTATGAATTCGGTGAATCAGTTAGAACAGAGACACCAAACACTATCTCTTGAGCATGTACCATACACAATCATTAGTTCGTGAACCAGTACAAGCAGATCCAGAATGCAACATAAGGATACCTTACGGTGACCATCAGGGGCTGGCATAAATACACGCATCTGCTGCTCAGACGGAAGAGATGAGAATATGGGAACTGTTACCAACTTTCTATTGCTTTCAGGCAGTTGACGCAGTCGTTCCTGAACAAGCCTCTCAACAGCTTCAATCTCTTCTTGCCCAGTCAAGAATACAAGTATATCACCGTGGCGCTCTTCCAAATGAATCTGAAATCAAGTCACATACATACCAGGAAAGGGGTAAGAGGATTACAATCAAGTATATTTGACAGAGTCTCACAAACCATACAAAGATTTTAGAGCAAAACGACCTAATTCCAATAACATAAACATATTTCACTTTAATTCTGCTATAACTTCTGGTTTTGATTTTGATGCAAAATAGTGAATACACTCAACAAATTATGCTTTATGTTCCCTGAACAGCCGTCAACGGATTGCTGCAAATGAATGAACATCAACAGACATGAAAAATCAAGCTAACCATCAAATACTATACATGATGATTTTTTTTCAATTAATCAGAAGCATCTCAAGTAATAAGGGACATTTAATTGCATGGTTGAGCAGTACAAGAATTCATAAGCACCAAATATAAGAGATGAATTCCATAACAACCTGAAATATTGTCACTAAGGCTGCATCGACATAATCTTTTTCAGGATAAAGAGTGTAAAGTATATCAACAGGATGCTGCCGGCCTTGAATGTGAACAGCTCTGGCACCACCAAAGTACTCAGAAAAAACTCGTGCATCCAAACTAGCAGACATAATGATTAGCTTCAAGGGAGGGAATTTCCTGTCTTGGGACTGCTTGAGAACATTGGCTGATTGGCTGATACCTTCTTTTCCTGGCAATGTTCCATTAGTACCATTCTTCTTACTAGCAATCACATCTAGAGTGCCAGATTTCAACCGAGCTTTTTGTACATTTTTCAGCAAGCCCAACAGGACATCAGTGTGAACAGTTCTCTCATGTGCTTCATCAACAATGACGACCGAGTACCTTGACAGATATGGGTCGAGTAATGCCTCCCTGCAAGCATATCAAGAACTCCCTCAGTTCCATATTCCTTAATTATTTGGTCTGCTTAGTTAGAATCACATAGGATGGACCCTAAGCACCACATCCAAATAAAAAGGCAATAAACAAGTTCGCAACAGCTAAAAGCCAAAGGTTGTCACAAAGACCTTTCCTCACATAATCCCACAAAATAAACTAGAAATACTCAGCAATACATTCACCAGAAGGATAATCTCCACTTCAAACAGCTTCTACCAGTTCGAAACATTCCAGACAAACCAATAGTTCTAGCCAGCAGCTGAAAATAACAGGCCAGAGTTCCCCATTACATTACCTCAACAGCAGTCCATCAGTCATGTACTTGATCCTAGTTACCCCAGAAGTTCTATCATCAAACCGAATCGAGTACCCAACCTTTTGCCCCAATTCAACCCCACATTCTTCAGCCACTCTCTTAGCAACAGTGACAGCGGCCACACGCCTAGGTTGTGTGATCCCAACACTCTTTCCTTCACGACAGAAGCCAGCACTAAATAGAAATTGAGGTATTTCTGCATAGAACACAAACCACCATTTCCCAGTTAACAAACAGACAGCCTTAGAAAAAAAGCAGAAACAAGCAAAAAGCGAAATAGAGGCACTTACGAGTTGTTTTCCCGCTCCCAGTCTCACCAACAATGATCAAAACATCATGTTTCTTCACCTCTTCGATCAGTCTTTCCTTCACTGGAGAACAAAGGAGCAGGAACCAGTAGAAAAAAACATGAAACCTAAGAGGAATGAAGGGAAAGAAGGGAGGAAAAGGCTACCAAAGCTAAGTGAGGTTTGGATTACCGGAGGCAATAGGAAGAGATTCTCTCTGCTGCCTAATCTCCTCCCTTCTGCATATCGCAAGATAACATTGTTAGGTCAAATTTCATGCTTTCGGTAAGGAAAAGAAGAACTGCAGAGTAAATTTCTTTACCTGGCGAAGGCATTGGAGTTGTGAGCTTGATTCGACTGCTTGAAGTCGGTTGTTACGCGGCCGTTTTGCGCCATGGAAGGCATCTCCTCCGCCGCTTAGTTTTAATGACCGGCGGTGACAGACGAGCGAAATAGGCGGCGGCGCTGGTGGACGGCGGGAATGATTTTGAAAGACTTCGTTTCTCTGTAAACTCACCAGAGGTTTGGGTTAGTTGGCTACTTGTTCCTCGCCCTAAATTATTTAAAATTACTTAAATATAAGTTAATTTAACGGTTAAAACCCAGCCGCCACCGCCACCGCCACCGCCGAGCATCTGCACCTGACCCGTTTTATCTGACCTGTTTGACCTGTTTTGGGACGGGTCGGACCCGCTCCGTAGGCGGGGCGAGGCGGGCATGGGTAATCTCATCGACCCGACTTGCCCTGACCCGCCCCATTCTCGACCCGTTCTTGTCTAAATTACATGAAATCTTAGTCAAATTACTTTGAATTTTACTTTTATATCATCATATTTTAGCTATAATAAAGTTGTAAATTAGTGAAAACCTCAATTTCTCCAATAATTTAACTACAATTGTCATAATATTGTTTATTTTCTTAGTTTTATAATAAAAATAACGAATATTTCTAATGTTTTTCAAATAAATTGCATACCCATTGGGTCGACCTGCCCCGACCCGCGACCCGTGATCAATTACCCGACCTGGACCCGCCCTGCCACGGGACGGGTCTGGGTACCAAGAAACCCACCCCGGACCTGCCCCATTGCCATTCCTATTTAACAATCACTCATCACTCAATTCCCCCAAACTTAATTCTCCAAGAGCTGATAAAATAATTCTGCGAAGAGCTGATAAAATATTTTTTTATAGAGCTGATAAAATAATTAACAAGACCTTTAAAGTCTTAACTAATTCCCCAAAGGAAACGGAAAGGACACCACTCCGCACGGATCACGTGAGTTGCCTGCCCCGCTTTGTCCCACTCCACGCGTGGCCATCACCTGCTCCTCACTTCGACGACGCGAGTTGAAAACCCGCCAGGGTAGAAACGCGTTGGAGACTTGTCTCTACCCCGTCGGCGACGGGTTTTCAACCCGTGTTGTCGTTGTTAAACAAATAAAAAAATCAAAGAACTTACATTTGTTAGGGACCTTCTTCCTCCTTCAGGGTGGGACGACGACGAGCGGTAGGGTCGTAGACGACGGCTTCTCGGCGGTGGCGGCGCTAATTTGAACTCGGCGGTGGCGTTGTGTGTGTTATAGAGAGGGGAAGGGACAGGTGCGTGCTAGGGGGAGATCGAGGGTTGGGCTGGTTAGTTGGGCTCGTCAAGTTGGGGCAAAATCGTCCGTGAGTAAGTTTAGGGCAAAAAATTTAAATACTTAGGCGTTAAATAGATCGTTTTTATTTAAAGGAAAATTCATCTTGTGCACTGAGCAGCGTATGTAGGCCAAAATCGGAAGGGAGGACTGGGGCTTAGGAGTGCGCACGAGCTAAACTTTGCTTTCCTGAATAAGCTGGTGTGGCACTTCACAAAGAAGCCGGAGGAGCTGTGACACGCTAAAACACAACACCTAACAATGGCCAAGTGTAACCAATGAAAGGGACTGCAGTATAGTGGCACAAGTAATAAATATCGAATCCACGGGTCTCTAGAGTTACTATTACTCAGCTTCAGCTCATTATCTAGCAAACTAGATTAAGGATTGATTTACTAAACTACTCTACTAACTACTCTACTAATTACAAGTTGGGAACTCACTTAGGTATGATTCCCCCTAGCTCCTCAATTAGGTCCAAGTTGCAATTACCTTTGGTTGATCTACTGTTGATTAAACTGCGGAAGATCCTAAATTAGCTTGGAATCTCTTAAGCTGACCAAGCCCTCTCAGACAGAATACCCGGCAGGTGACTAGCCTTCACCGGGATAGACTGCTAAGGCGATTCACACAGATCTCCACTACTGGAATGAATTCCAGTACAAAGCAGTAAATTGATTGACTCTCGCACAACCAATTCACCACTATCAATCAAGGAAGCTCTCTTAACCTAATCAGATTCTATCTATCATAGGTTAAAGCAGAAATCAAGAGAATTTGATCAAGATTCAATTGACTCAATAAATCATGCCTCAATCGATTATAATCAAACAATAAAGCATCCAAAACTTCATACAAGAAAGATCCTAACTCATGGAACTAGGGTTCCTCAAAACCTAAGTGAAGGGAAGTTACTCCATAGAGAAGAGAGAGACTGCAGAAATCTGATCTAGATCTTCAATCTCCATCTCCAAGCTTGATTCCTGAGCTCCAATGGCGAAGAAATCCTCCAAAATAGCTCCAAGAATGTTCCCAAGTCGCTCTCTCTCTCTAGGGTTGGTCCCTTGGGTGTTTGGGATCCAAAACCCAGCTCTCTTCCCTTCCTTTCGCTGAAAATCGGGTTTTAAACAACAATTCCCGACTCGCACGGCCAGGGTGCACGGCCATGCACATCACCATTCTGGCCGTGCACCTCAAAACGCGCCGTTTCATTAAGTCGAACCTCAACCAACTCACACGGCCAGGATTGCACCTTGCACGGCCGTGCGGATTTCACTTGTGCCCGTGCGTGCCCACGCACCAACCCGCACGGCCAAAATTGTATGTTGCACGGCCGTGCGTGGCCACGCACAATCCCGCACGGCCAGAATTATATGTTGCACGGCCGTGCGCCTCCCTGGTCTGCCCGTGCAGCTTGCTCAGCCTCTGTTTAATGCTTCATTTCTCCCTCGTCCGGACTCCGAATCAGTCGCCGTTTGATCCCAGACGCTCGTAGTCTCGTCCTCTTCCGTTTCATAACAAGCTTGCATGATTCTCTGTCCATAAAGTGAGGTAGAAATCCATTCTTCTTCAGGTCATGCCCGAGTGTCTTCTCCCAAATCGTCAATTGATCTCTGATTGACTTGAAACTTGCGCCTATGCTTCACTTTATGTGCTAGGACCTGAAATGTGACAAAGGAACACAACCTAGCGTAAAATCGGTCAAAGACACGGTAATTCAAGCTCAAACAATCAAGAAACAAAAGGGGAAAACATGTGCAAATACCGAGTCATCAAATCCCCCCACACTTAACTGTTTGCTTGTCCCCAAGCAAACCTAACTCAAACCAATGCAACTCTCCAGACCTCTATAGCAACAAACAACCTCGATCGTAGGTAGCGGACTTCCTAGATCATTTAGCAGCTTACGAGGTCAACCGACGCACAAGTCATCTCATAGCCTCTTCGGCGCGAACGCTAGTCTCGAGTCGGCATCATGGCAAATAGTGAACAGAGGACAAATGAATCGTGGATGAAAAGACTCTAAAAAACAAAAGATCATGGACTCACATTTTTCAAGGTGCTCGATTTTCTTTTTGGAGATGGTTGGAACCCCCTTTTCTTTCTTCTTTTTGCTTGTTTTTCTGATTTTCTCTTTTTTTTCAAGGGTTCCAACCTGTTTTTGTAGAAAACGGGGGCTCCCACCTAGCAAAGGTTTTGCGGGAGCCCGGCTCTTACCGGCCATGCCAGGAGCAGTTGTCTCGAGCCTCGTGCGGGGGAAAGACATGTAAGGGGGCTGGAGGTAGTAGGTGGAAATTGGGAACGGATTCCCGTCTCCCCTTACACACTTTCGCCCTATTCGCACGGGAGACGTCATTTTAAAGCACATTTTCGAGCACCTGTTATTTTCAAAACATGATACAAGAGTCCATGACAAGCAGAGAGTCCACAACACCACACAATTCAAGGGTCCTAAGATCACTAATTCACTCAATCAACCAACACACTATGAAGAAGAAATGAGACTTCTTAAATGCATCAACATCCTCCATAGTGCTACACTACCTCCCTAGGTTGCAAATCACTACAGAGACTGTCAATTCAAAGCATACTGAGCAGGTAATTGCAAGGAACAAGTACTTGGAGCCCTCAAATTTAAAAATTTGGACAGTGGACTAGGCTCCAAGCACACAAACAGCCAAACATTCACCCGCATACATAATCGAACACCCCCCACACTTAAGCACGACATTGTCCTCAATGGAGGAAAGATAAGGAGGGTAGAACGCAGTTACCAGATCAAGGGTGAATGATGATGGATGGGGCAGGCGGTGCATTCCAGGAAGAGAGAGTAATCAGAACACAAACACCACACAAAATCTCACAAAGGTTGAGCTATTGACTCTAAAACCAAATAACAAAACTGACTCAACCGAGGAGAAATAGAGAAAGAAATGCAAACCGACTGGTTGGGTTGCCTCCCAACAAGCGCTTCTTTCACGTCGTGAGCCGGACGATGGCTCCTAAGTTTCGGTCCATGCTAGAACCTCCTTGAAGTTGAGGTTCTCATCTATGAGGTGGAGTCTCAAGTCACGAGCATGCGGTATGACAGGTGATGGAAGCTCGTGCACTTGATGTAGATGAAGTCTCCACCCTCGAGACCTCTTCTTCTCTTCTCTCGTCTCATTGCCCCAAACCAGATATGACAACATCGATTGACCACCATCGCGTCCACCAAGAGGGACCGATGTCGAAGTGGCCTTGGTCTGGCAAAGAGACACTGCAAATGGGTCCTTGCTAAGTAGTTCCTCGACTTTTGGTGGAGATATCACATGCAACTCATGGCCGGTGCAGGCCTCTTCCACCTCAACTTCGTCCTCAGCCTGGACGCCAATTGCTTCGTCAACCTCCCTTCCTTGTTCATATGGTATCACCCCTGGGAAATGATCAAGAACTCCTCCTGCTTCACTTTCGTCATCCTCCACAACTTCTTTCTGAACCCTTTCTTGCTCTTCGTCTTCTAGCACGGATTGGAGAGCAAGTTGCCAAGCAATTTCTTTCATGAGATTTTCTTGCATCTCCTCACTCATGCCCGCCTCTTCAAAGCTCAGTTTGGGATGTGGGAAGGTGTGGTCGGCTACGATAGGACATTCTTGATCATGATCTTCACGGGAGCTCTCCGTGATAACTTCTGTTTGCTCCACAATGTCCTTGTAGCCTTCGTCTTCCTCCTCCTCTTCTAGTATGATAGCAGAAGGGTGATCTTGAGCAGGTTGTGCATAAGCTTTCTCAAGATCCTCGAGGCTCTTCTTTATGCTCAGGAGGGTCTCCTCTGTTTCACGGTAGGAGAACCCAGTTTGGGCATTGTCTGGGATATCCATCTTTGGAAAGGATGTCTCAGGTACTCGAGCAATCT